GCAACCTCCATATTCTCCTCCTTTACACAATGTAGGCACACCGCAAGAAACTAAAGCTTATTGCCAGGCCCCTACCTACCTAAACACACCCAGGTCCTAATGAAGCACATGGGGACCTACTATTGCCTATTACCTACTCCAATGCATCAAGGAACACAAAGTAAATTTTTAAATTTGTGCTTGAACCATTCTTTTCCTTCTTCCTGTGTTGCCCTTTTGTTGCAAGATAGCACCCTGCAAATTAGCCAATTTATACACACTGGTGCCTCACCACTTAATTTCAGCTTTGGGTGAAATTAGCCCTATACAAGTCTAAAACTCCACCTCCTTCCATGCTTAACAGCTGGGACCTGGACATGGTAACTGCTCCCACACCACTCCCCACTATGACCACCACAACCACATCAGCTCCAATCCTTTTGTTCAACAATCCATGCTACTCTCCACTATTCCCACATCACCACACCACTTCCTACTTTCCTCCACTTGCTGGATAAGAGCTATAAAAGTTAAGATGCTACCCAAAAGATAAAACTCCCAACAATCCTGGACCAGGCACCCCAGCTTGGGTAACCACTTATACAACTAATTCCCACCCCCTCGGAGGTCTCTGCTATCCATATCAACCACTCACTATCCTCTTTGGTCACCCTCTAGTTCCTTTACTTCCCCCAGCACTTCCTGAACCTCACCAGGCTCTTCCTATCTTTTCCCTTCACAAATCCCTTGCCCTTCCTAGCCTCTAACAATTGCAGTTACATACAGCTATTGAAAGTATGCCCCCCTTATGTATACACTAATGTACCCACAACAGGGTACACACAGGCTATCTTTTAAATCTATTATAAATTTGGCCTCATTTTTTATATACCACATTTTATATATGTGGTATAAGTCTAGGTCTTTTCAGTTCTGTAGCACAGACTTAGCACCTAGAGGCCAGCCAAACAATGTCACAACTCCTGGCAGACCACATATATCAAAAAGCCCAAGATTTAGAAGCCTTTAATAAGAGAGAAAGTTCAGGGGTACCTGGGTGGCTCAGTTGGTTAAGTGACTGCCTTCAGCTCAGGTCATGATCCTGGAGTCCCAGGATCGAGTGCCACATTGGGCTCCCTGCTCAGCGGGGAGACTGCTTCTCCCTCTGACCCTCCCCCCTCTCATGTGCTCTCTCTCATTCTCTCAAATAAATAAAATCTTTAAAAAAAAATAAGAAAGTTCTGTAGGTGCTGTAGACATTGCATTGGCATCTCAATGTAGATCCTTGAAGGGTAACTCTGGCTGTATGTAGGTCAATAATATAGTTAAAAGTCTCTAAAATAATTCAATAGATAAAACAACAAATCAAAATAGTCAATGATTTTGCCAAGTTATTATAATACTCCAAGAGATTTCTTGAACCCCCATTGATTTCTTCTCTTGGATCCTTCTTCTACCTGGATTTTTATTATCTGGCCCCACATTATCTTTCATAAAGCTATCATAATAATTATTGACCTAATTATTGTAGGTCAACTTTGCAAATGTGCCCTCTCAAATACCAGTTTATTTACAGGGATACCTGGAGGTTGCCATGCTAATCCAAATGTCAGGAGTGAATTGTGAAGATCACAGGAAAGAAACTTGGACATGTGATTTAGTGTCAGCAACTTACAAGCTTCATCTCCTGCCCATGTCCACTGCCTCCTTCACAATTCTGGTAAGTTTCACCTACTACTCCCAAAGTGCAACCTCCCACCATTTTTTTAAACTTGTTCAGGGAGGATTTCCACTGTATAAAATACCTGAACACTGACCATTCTTTCTGTTCTGGGCCTTCTCCTGGACAGCTATCCCCTCTACCTTTGATCACCCCAAACGACTACCATCATGAGTTTTGTCACCCAAACCTAACGTTGGTGGGGGTGTTTCCTTACATTACAATGAAGTTGCTGTAACATGTACATCAACTGGCATGGAAAAATAAAGCTTTTTGCAGATGACATGATTATCTACACAGAAAATCCCAAGGAATCTATACAGAACGGCAACTTTAACTAATATGCAAGTTTGGCAGAACAATCAACTGCATTTTTATATACTAGCAATAAACAATTAGAAGTTGAAATTTGAAAATAGTACCATTTAATTTAGCACCAAAAAACACAGAGTACTTAGGTTAAATCTAATAAAATATGTGCAGAATCTGTGCTGAAAACTACAAATTACTGATTAAAGAAATTAGAGGGGTCCTAAACAAATAGGCAGATATTCTGTGTCTATGGCTTAGAATATTCAAGATTGCTAAGATGCTAAGCCTACCTGAAGTCACCTATATATATTCAATGCAATCCCAACAAAATTTCCAGCAATGAGTTTATTTTTAAAAATCACAAAACTTATTCTAAAAATTATGTAAAAGTAAACAAATTAAAATAGCCAAAATATTTTGAAAAAGAAGAATGGAGGGGGGCCTGGGTGGATCAGTCATTAAGCCTCTGCCTTCAGCTCAGGTCATGATCCCAGGGTCCTGGGATCCAGCCCCACATGGGGCTCCCTGCTCAGCGGGAAGCCTGCTTCTCCCTTTCCCACTCCCCCTGCTTGTGTTCCCTCTCTCGCTGTGTCTCTCTCAAATAAATAAATAAAATGTTATTTTAAAAAAAGAAAAAGAATGGAGTTGGGAGACTCATACTATCTCATTTCAAGACTTATTATATAAGGCTACATATTGGCAAAATGATACACACATAGACTGATGGAACCAAGCAGAGGCCAGAAACAGACCCATGCATGTCTGATCAATAGATTTTCCACAAGGGCCAACAGAAATTAAAAGGATAATCAGATGTTCACAGGCCAAAAAACATGGCCCTCTACCTCACACTTTATAAAGATGAACTCACATGGATCATAGACTTAAATGTAAAACCATTTCATAAAACTTTTAGATAAAAAAGGAGGAGAAAAATCTTTGTGACCTTGGATTGGGCAGAGTTCTTAGATTTGAAACCAAAAGCATAATCCATGGAAGAAGAAAACTGAACTTCACCAAAAACAAAATTTCTGCTCTGTGAAAAATACCGATAACGGAATAAAAACACAAAACACACAGAGATAAAATATTTGCAAAACATAACTGAGAAAGGACATATGTCCAGAACACATAAACTCTCAAAAATCAAGAACAAGAAAACAGTTCCCCCCCAAAAATAGATATACATACAGGATACATTCAGATACAAAAGATGCCCAACATAGTCATTAGGGAAATGCAAATTAAAATCAAAGTGAGATGCCACTATTAACCGACTGAAATGGTAAAAACAAAACAAAACCCTGACATGCATTGATGGTGGGAATGCAAACTGGTATATCCATGTTAGAGTTGTTAGCTTTCCATACAGTTAAACATACTACACAATTCCACTCTTAAGTATTTACTAACACAAAGAAAACTTGTGTTGACACACAGACCTCTTTGCAAATATTTATCCCTGTTTTCTTCATAATCACTAACAACTGGAAACTCAAATATCCTTGAATTCATAAATGGATAAACCAAACATGATACATCCATACACCAGAATATCACTCAGCAACAGAAGGAATGACTACTGTTCCACACATCAGGACTGATGAATCTCAGAAGCATAGAGTGAAAGAAGCCAGACTTGAAAGATTATATACTATATGACTCCATTTTAGGACATTCCAGAAAAAGTAAACTATGCAGACAGAAAACAGGTAGATAGATGGCTGCCAAAGGCAGGGAGAGGTGACAGGGAGAGTGGTTGACTACAAAAGTCCAAGGAATTTCAGGGCAGGGGGTCTTGGAAGTGTTAAACGTCTTGATTACGGTGGTGGTAATACAACAGAAAGCATTTACCAAAACACAGAATGATACATTGAAGTCGATTTTACTGTATACAAGCTATTCCTTAATAATAATTCTACAAAGAATGTTAGCTTGTAGAATTTTCATAGATGCCTTTCATCTCACTGAGGAATTATTATCATGAATGGACACTGAATTTTGTCAATCTTACTTTCTCTCAATCTACTAAAATGATCATATACTTGATCAAGAGAATCTAGACATAAAAGAGTACACACATTGAACCAAAGAACAGACTTAACTAATGTGAGGTATAGCAATCATACTGGTTGCCACTGGAGGTGAGAATGACTAGAAACGTACACAAGGACACATTCTGGTTTAATAGAAATATTGTATACATTGATTTTGGTGATGATTACATAAGTGTATACATTTGTCAAAATTCATAAAGCTGTAAACTTGAGATTTATGCATGTTGCTGAATGCAAATTATATCTCAATAAACTACTAGCATACAAAAATGCTGGTCACAACCCACTGAAGTGATTTTGGACCTATTGGCAGGTTGATAAACACTAGTTTGCAGGACCTGTAGGGTTGGGAAAATGAGCCCATGTGTCTAACTTAAATGTCCTCCAAACCTTACAGAATTCCTCTTTTAAGTACATTTCATAGAAATTTTGAGAGAAGAACTGAATAAAAATTTCACATGACTGTTCTCCCTTTCACTCATTTAACATTACTGAACACCTACCATGTGTTAGGCACTGAAAAGACTGAATAGATTTGGCAGTCAACAAATCCCTACTCTCTTGGAGTTTATATCCTAGTGGAAGATTCTGGCACTTCCATCTCAGCCCTTCGGTTAACTTCAGATCAGATTCATCCTTCCTAAGCCTCTCCTCTGTGTAGTATCTGCTAAATGTCAAGGTTCTGAATGAAGTCCTTTTGTTGCCATTCTCATGAGGCTTCTCTGCTGTGTGGTCACCCAACCACTGTGACATGTCAAGCCCTGGCTAAATACTGACTCTTTTATAAATAAATGCTTTGTCTTCTAGGACAGGTCTGATTATTGGACTATTTCAGCACCCATCTGAGGTATTAAAACATATAATTTTATGGAGCTTCTTTCCTGAGCTTCTCTGGGGAGGGCAAGTCCTTATCAGCCTCATCATCAGCATGCACTCGCTGATGAATTATAAGACTTGAGCTCCAACTGAAGCCCTTCCCACACTCCTCACATTTATATGGTTTTTCTCCAGTGTGAACTCTCTGATGGGCTTGAAGGTATGAGCTCCAACTGAAGACCTTACCACACTCCTCACATTTGTATGGTTTCTCTCCAGTGTGGACCCTCTGGTGGGCTTGAAGATAGGATCTCTGTCTGAAGCGTTTACCACACACATCACACCGGTATGGCTTCTCTCCTGTGTGGACTCCACGATGAGCCAGAAAATTTGATGCCCGACAGAATCCTTTCCCACACTCCTCACACTGGTATGGTTTCTCCCCAGTATGGCACCTCTGGTGGGCTTGAAGCTGTGAACCCACACTGAAGCCCTTCCCACACTCTGCACACTGATATGGTTTCTCTCCCGTGTGGACTCTTTGATGCACCTGAAGACTCGAGAACTGGCTGAAGGCCTTACCACACTTCTCGCATTTATAGGGTTTCTCTCCAGTGTGGATTCTACAATGAACGTTAAGATCTGAACTCCGGCTGAAGCCCTTCCCACATGTACCACATTTGTATGGTTTTTCTCCAGTGTGGCCTCTTTGATGGGCCAGAAGATTTGAGGCCTGACTGAAGCCTTTCCCACATTCCTCACATTTATAGGGTTTCTCTCCTGTATGGACTCTAAAATGAATGTTAAAATCTGAGCTACGACTGAAGCCCTTTCCACATGCATCACACTGATATGGTTTCTCACCAGTGTGTCCTCTCTGATGGTCCAGAAGATTTGAGGCCCGACAGAAGCCCTTCCCACATTCCTCACATTTGTAAGGTTTCTCTCCAGTGTGGCTTACCTGATGGGCCTGAAGGTGTGAACCTACACTGAAGCCTTTCCCACACTCTTCACATTTATAGGGTTTCTCTCCTGTATGGATTCTACAATGAATGTTAAGGTGCGAGCTGTAACTAAAGCCCTTGCCACATGCCTCACATTTGTATGGTTTCTCTCCAGTGTGGATTCGCTGATGAGCCTGTAGTCGCGAACGCCAACTGAAGCCCTTCCCACACTCTTCACACCTATAAGGCTTCTTTCCCATGTGGACTCTCTGGTGCACTTGAAGATACGAGCTCTGACTGAAGCTCAGCCCACACTCCTCACATTTATAAGGTTTCTCTAATGTGTGGATTATCAGAGGAGCTTGACGATGTGAGCTTTTCCCAACATTCCTCCCACATTCCTCGAATTTGTGCGGATTCTCTCCAGTGGGAACTCTCTGATGATGGAGAAGATATGACCTCTGTCTGAAAGCCTTACACGATGTATCATACTTGTATGATTTCTCTCTGCTATGGACCCTCTGGTGGGCTTGAAGGCTTGACAGTCGACGGAAGGTGTTTTCACATTTTTCACATTTATAGGGCTTCTCTCCTACATGGGCTCTCTGGTTAGTTTGAAGATCACAGCGCTGAATGAAACCTTTCTCACGTTCCTCCCCCTGGTAGGGTTTTCCTCCCGTGTGGTCTCTGTGGTGAACTTGAAGATGTGAACTCTGAGTAAAGCCTTTACCAAATTCCTCATCTTTATAGAGTGCATCACCTCGTTTTTCCAACTGGGAGCCAGTTCCTTGAATACTGACCATGGAATCTTGGCACTGGGTTAACTCCTTTGTAACCTGTTGCCAGATTTGCGAGCAGAACAGCTCTTCATGTGGCAGGTACTTTAATCCAATTTCCTGAAGAGTCTCCAAGTCATTTAGATTCTTGTCTCCTATAAGAATAAAGAGAATTTAGAGATGAGGCATATAAACACTTTGTTTGGAGATGTCAAGGCTATAAACCTAGGTCCATTTTGAATCATACTAAGTTTTAGGGGTGCCTGGGTGGCTCAGTTGTTACACGTCTGCCTTCAGCTCAGGTCATGATCCCAGGGTCCTGGGATCGAGCCCCGCATCGGGCTCCCTGCTCAGTGGAAAGCCTGCTTCTCCCTTTCCCACTCCCCCGCTTGTGTTCCCTCTCTTGCTGTGTCTCTGTCAAATAAATAAAATAAAACAAAATAGAATCATACAAAGTTTTACATGTGAGAAACAGGTTAGAAATTTGGTGGCTATAGATCAAGAAAAATACTTCCTAGGGAGGCTTTACAAAGATGAAGCTGCACCTTACTAAAAGCCTTGTTTTTGCTATAGCATATGTCTGATAAATAGTTTCCACATAATTCTGCCTACTGCACACACATCTGACCAAATGCTCAACATGTCTAGTAAGACCCTTATACACAGATTATCAGAAGATGTCCTCAGGCAATGTTGAAAACCTTTGTTTGAAATGGTTTCACTGGAAGTTTATTCCATGTTAGAAGCCCTGAAGCACTGGGTTGGTTGGAAAGATATGTTTGGGAGAACCTATCAAGTAAGTGCCTCAAGTTCAGGGTATAAGCAGAGAGTGGTCTTTCACCTCCTGCTGGGAAATATTCTTCAGGACGGCAATGGGGGAAGAGGTTTACAGTACCATATATCATATCAAAACCTCAGAGCAATAAAGTTCCTATCTCCTCCAGGGGGGAAAAAAAAAAAAGAGTGACAAATCAGAAGCTAATCTTTTATACCAGAGCAAGAACTTGTGAGGAGAAAATGAACAGGGCATGGCACAGATTCTCAAAGTCAATACTGGTCAGGAAGAGTTACGTTCTCCTTGGAACTCTGTTCCACCAATGAGATATACAGCTTGCTACCTACTTCTTTTCAGACCCCTCTTCAAATAACACCTTATCAGTGAGGCCTCTTTTTCCATCCAATATCCAGCAGTAAATTCTCCCTATCCCTCGACACTCCTGGCCATCTGCCTGGCATTCGCCTTACCCTGTTTTGTTTTTACACAGCACGTATTACATCTAACATACTATATATGTTTATGTCCATTATCTTTTTATGTCTTCTCCCACCTGAATGCAGTATCCACAAGGCCAAGCATTTATATCATTCATTGCTTTATCACCGCTCCCAGAACACTGTGTGACAGTGTCCAATAAACACATGTTGAAAGGATAAATAAGTCCAAGTTTGACTTCCTTGTGAGAGTTTAAACTATGTTACAAGAGTAAAAGAGCTTTTCCAAGTAAGTTATCTAGAACAGGTAAGGGACTGGAAACAGCAATTTTCCTGGGAAGTTGAAAGGCTTCACCAGATGTTGGGCTAACCTAAGTGGATGTTGCTGATAAGAAAATTATGCTGATCACAAAATCATGGCAAGAATCACTTGAGAGGAAAAAGGGGGAAAAAAAAAATAAGGCATAAAAGTGGCCGGCCATGGGGCCTAGGATTGATTACTTCTGAAATTTTGTACTCTTCCTGTGTAAAATTTTTTCTTTTTCACATAGGAGTCAATATTTAGAGCCTCAGGAATAATGTCTCTGAGAGCAGGCTGTCAAACTGATGGATACAGAAACATGTTCTTGTATGCACAACACCAGTTTTCCAAGTTACAGGTTGGGACTCCATGAGCCTGAAATAAATTTAATGGCTTATGACAAGCATTAACAGGACAATATTAGAGGTGCTTCAGAAGTAAAGGTTTCTCTGGATAAAATACTTGCTAGAACCATACACACACGCAGATGACGGTAGGTGACACTGTTTTCTGTAACTCTTTGGAAGAGGTGGGTGGCTGCCATGAGGAAAATCTTCAAAGGGAAAGACTAACATGACAGCCAGTTATTACCTGAGAATTTTTCTTTCTTGATAAAGTGTATTTTCTTTAATAGGAGACCTGCCTAAAAAAGTGGCTATCAGAATCTTCATTCTGAAAAGTCGTTCTTCACCAAGACCATATGATTCACTACTAAAGACTGCAGAAAAGCCACAGAGGGAAAAGGATATTCAACTTGGTTACAAGTGCAAAGTTAAGCTTTCATTAGATGTGGGGGATTGTTTAAGAGAGAGAGAGAATGCTCGAGAGAGCCAGTGGGGGGGTGGGGCAGAGCGAGAGGGAGAATCTTAAGCAGGCTCCATGCTCAGCGAGGAGCCTGATGTGGGGCTCGATCTCACAACCCTGAGATCATGACCTGAGGTGAAATCAAGAGTCGGATGCTTAACCGACTGAGCCACCCAGGCACCTCTAGATGTGGTTTAATGGATACATATCTACTTGTACCCAAAAAGCACCTGATAAATTAGGATTAGATAATTATGGATAGGGTGTGCTGTCCTGGACTATGCCTTTATCACACATTTCTGTTTATCACCCATTTAGTATGTCTACAACTAATGAAAAAAAGTCTATGTAAACCATTATTATCTCATTCATTCATCCAACAAGTATTTATAGCACATCTGTCCTCTGCCAAGTCTGTTTATACACTGAAGATATAGCAATAAAGAAAACAGAATTTCTTCCCTCCTGATAATTATATTCTAGCAGGAGTACAGTGAGATAAACAAAAATATGTTAATATGGTGAGTGGTGATGAATGCCTAGACACCAAATCAGACAGGGTAAGGGAAAGGAGAATGGGGGAAGAAGGGGTCATGAACAGGGTGGTCATGGGAGGTCTTTCTTATGATGTTATGATTTGAGAAGAGACCTACGTGAAGTAAGGGAAGGGCCAAGAGGACGACAGAGAGACAGGGCACTCCTGACAGAAGGAAGAACAAACAGAGAGAGGGTGATGAGGCAGGGCCATGGGTGGCAGGGCAGAGCAGAGCGGCAAAACTGGATGGGACAGACTGACATGGGGCAAGTGATAGGTCACATGTGCGGAAGGATGGGGGAAGAGTAAGGAGCAGGCAGCTGGGGCACCAAAAGCCACTTTAAGTACTTGGCTTTTAGTCTGAATCAGATAAGAAGCTACCAGAGATTCAAGCAGAGGACAGGAGCTGACAGACATACAGAAGAATCACTTCGAGTGGAGAATGACTGTAAAAGAGCAAAGGAGGGGAGGGAGAGCGTGAGAAACTGCTGCAGAGTTCAGAGGCGAGGCACTGCTGTGGAGGCCGACAAGAAGCAAGGCTGACTCAGCCGCACAGCTTTCACCTGAGGCACAGGGGCCCTGGGCTGCTGTCTTTATCATCCGAAGCTTTTCTCCCCTCTCAAACTGGAGTATTACATCTGGGGTGAAGGGTTGATGCCCTGTCAAAAGGCAAGGACAAACATTTAGAATTACTAAAAATTACTAAAATTACTAAACTACTAAAAATGTGGTTCTTACCATATCATCTGTAGGACATCAAAATTAGTGATTTCCAAACTGTTAATTATGACCCATCAGAAGACTACGTTTGATGCAAAAATCCAGGATATGTAGGCATTCAGTGTAAATTACTGGGAAAAAAGGTCTGTTTCTTCAGACTCTTTCCACCATTTCTCACACGATTTTCAGCAACAGGCTGTAGTTTTTGCTGCAATGTGCAGTTATTGCCAAAGGCTCTGATTCTTTTTTTTTTTTTTT